CTTCTTCTTCTTCCTCTTCTTCTTCTCTATTTTCCACCTCCACCTCTTCTACTCCTTTGCCTTCCTTTTTCTCCTCACCCTTCTTCTCTTTTTCTTCTTCTTCTTCTTTTCTTGATACTTTGCCCGAACCTCTTCCTCTTTCTATTCTCTTTCTAATTTCTATACTCGTTTCCCTTTCATTCCGATCTCTCTCTCTCTCTCTCTCTCTCTCTCTCTCTCTCTCTGTCTCTCTCTTTCTGTTTTGTTTTTCTAAAAGTAAATCAATAATTTTCATTTGTTTCGTATGACTTGAAAAATATTATAATTTATTTTAATTGCGATCTATAATTATCATCGTAGAAATATCCGAGTAATATTTTATGATTTACAATTGTAAAACTCCGTTCTTACTTTTTCATTTTTATTTTTCCTTCTTTTCGTTTTCTTTTCCTTTCTCCCTTTCTCTCTCTCTCTCTCTCTCTCTCTCTCTCTCTCTCTCTCTTTTCTCTCTTTCTCTCTCTTTCGTTAAGAACGAGCAACTCGATTCTCAGGAGTAACGAGTTTTCTATGAATTTTCTGTCGTGGAATTAAATATAACTCGTTTCGATGTTCTGTGTGAGCTGGTCTATTGTACTTTTTGTATTGTGACGTTAGGTAGTTGGAGACGCGTTTGTCGAGGGTTTCCGGTTAAAAGGGAGAAGGAAAAGTCTCGGGAGAAAAGCAAAATTCGGAAATGTGTAGCATGGGCGTTGGTCGTTGAGATGTTCCCTTGGGTCTGCTCTAATTACATAATTAAAATAAAAAAAAAAAAAAGAAATAAAAAAAAATAAAATAATAAAAAATAATACAAGAAGTAATAATGAAATATATTATAGAATAATAACGTTAATTATGACGATGGAAATAATGATGGAAATAATAATATCTACTATTAGTAATAGTGTATATACGTACGTACGTGTATGTGTGTGTGTGTGTGTTTGTGTTAGAAAGATGAAGTGCGATAAAAAAGATCGATATATTATTAGTTTGGTCAATGAGTAATATAGAATTTTATATTTAAATAAATATTATACTACAATATAAAATAGTATTGTATTCTATTGCATTTATTAATGTAGCATTAACTTGATAAAAAACCAATGACGGAATTCACAGTATTTTATATATAAATAAACGACTAAAGTATAGTATACTATACAATAGGATTGAATTGGATTGCGTATACTAGTATAATGTACGAAATTTTTGATACAAATTGTCAATAATAAATTACTGAATACAATGTTATTTATTTAGATAGAAAATATGAAAAATTTCAACTTTACTTATTGAACAATCAAATAAACGAAATTAGAGATATAAAATCAGACAATAATATTTTTTACAAATTTTTAATAATAGTATATATATACATACTACTATTAAAAATTTGTATTTATTAAATATATTATTATATATTCCATTAAAGTTCCTTTTAATGCTTCTTTCTTTTTTTTGTTTTTAAACTTCTCTTATCTTTATCTATATATATAGATAATATATATATATATATATATATATATATATATATATGTATTCATTTTTCTCTGCTTCGTTGAGCCACAATTCGCATTCATAGCATCCAACATTAAAGCTCGACAGATCGATTCTTCGAAAAGAGCATACATATATATATGTACGAATGACACACACACATATATATATATATACGTGTATAATAATATACAAATAACATAAACGAGGATTTTTTTCCTAAAAGTAGACTTTCCATTTGGAAATAGTTTTAACTTGATTTTTCCACAATCGAATGATACGTCGACATTATTGTTGTTGTCGCTATCATGCTCGCTATTTTCTATTCATTCCCACTCACTCTCCATTTCTTATTTTATCTTTGTTTATTCTCTTGAACGACCATCAGATAATTTCGGTCAGTTAGCTATTCTTTGAGAAGAATACAATTAAATATTGTTTGTACTAAATTAAGGAATTAAAAGGAAAAAATTATATTATTTTAATTTGCACAACTTTTCTTAATATAAAGTTTCAGAATCTCTCTCTCTCTCTCTCTCTCTCTCTTTCTCTCTTTATATATTTCATTCGAAAGTAATCTTTAGTTAATGGAATGGCCTCGAAAAATGGAAGATATCTTGATATCTCATCGCAATCTAGTTGATGTATCCGTTCTTATCCATCTTATGTATAAAAATCGATTGCGATCTTATGTAGTATGGCCCTTGACATCGAGCGCGACAAATTTGAAGGGTTCTCATGGGACTAATAGAACATCTTGGGGGAAATAGATTGAGACGAACGTATCATTTCTTACCTTTCCTTCCCTTTTATTTTACTTTCGTCCGATCTACTTTATCTCTTCCTTATTTCGTTTTTTCTTTTTTTCTTTTCTTCTATCCTTGTCTAGCTCGATAAAACAAGAGGCGTTAAAAATCGAATCGGTAATAAGAAAAAATCTTTCGATAATTCTTCCCCCCCTGTCCAATCATATATACACGCATTTCCCCCTCCCGTCCTCCCTCCCCAAGTAAATATTCTATGATAGAGGTTAAAAATATGCATTTAAGAAATTCCCTAGTGCAAGGTCAATCGCATTCCTTCAGTTCTTTCTTATCTATCTTCTATTCTTCTATCTCCTGTTCCTCCTTCCTATCTTTCATATATATATCCCCTCACGTACATATACTCATCTTATCAGCTCTACACTCCTACTTTAGAGTTTTCGATGCGCCTGTAAATGATCGTTTAAGGAGTTCGAGACATTCTTTCTTTCATGCTTGGCAACTTCGAGGTAAGGGCATTCTTCATTTCTCAGAAAGAAAAATTTTTCATGGCATTCTTTCTAAACTAGATCTCGATAGTGGGATCTTACCTTTTACGGGACGGGAATTTTTTCAGATTCGATTCATGTATAAAAGAGAGAGAGAGAGAGAGAGAGAGAGAGAGAGAGAAAGAGAGAGAGAGAGAGAGAGAGAGAGGGAGAGGGAGAGAATAAGAGTAAGAGAGATGAAATATAAAGCGTTCGTTCGTAAAAAAAACGCAGCTATTAATCATTAAAGTTTTTACGGATAATCGAATGCCAATGCGGCATTCGTGAAACGATTTTTCTATCGGATAAAGAGTAAAAACTATTTCTCCATCTTTTATCTTTCCCCTTTCTCTTTTTATTTCTCTTTCTCTTTCTCTTTCATTACTTCATCCTTATTTCTATTCCTATAATACGTATAACACGTAACATCCTCCTTTAACTACGTCTCTTCTTCCTCAAATCATTCTCTTCATGAAACGTGTTCAAGGTATACGTACGTATATGTATATATATATATATATATACGTACGTATACATACAGATATGTACGTGTGTATGCAAATCCAACATCGTGTTACGTTCGGTATAACGGGACGATAACTCTGCTGTCTGGTAAATAAGCTGAATGTTCTACTTGTCCGTCGGAAATGCCGTATAGAATGGATTCCCATCTGGCTGGTTGTTAGCTACTATTTAGCTAGGTGGAAAAGATATGTATATATATATATATATATGTATATATATATATATATATTTGTCAATCCGCTTTTCGGAAAATTAGTTACCATTCGAACTAGAAAATCATTTCTCATCTTTGAAATCACGATCTTTCTCACCTATCACGATTTATCTTTCTATGATCGATAAATCTTATCGTCTACTCATATCCACTACGTTCTATTACGTTCTACAATTTTCCTTTGGAGAAATTGGCCAGTGATATCTACAATCTCTAGTTAGAAACGATCTATCCTATGGGAATATAATATTTGGTGATTTTATTTTTACCGATCGATTTATCGTCGTTATTAATTCTATCGTCGTTTCTCTTAATAATAAATTCAAATTATCATATAGTTCGTTATCTTTAATTATGTTACACAAGTAATAAAATTTTGTATTAAATTCGTATTATGTACACTCACACACACACACTCACTGAAAATATTTTATTTATTCTCATTCAATTTCTTTTATTAGTTCCCAATTTAAATTCATCCTTTTTATTCCTTTTTAAACTATTCATTTTAACTTATTTCACGTTTATTATTATCTAACACTGATTCGCTTTAATTGTTATCGTGATAAAGCACGTAATAAACCTGCCGACATATTATCTACATTTAAAACGTAATATCTTACAAATCTATGTTAAATTTTATTCATAAATTTTATTCAATAAAATATTTATCTCCCTCTTTCTCTCTCACTCTCTCTCTCTGTCTCACTTCCTTAAATAGAAGTAGGTAAATACTCGTTGTTATATATATAAGCCGTTTATTTTGAAAGTGACATAACTCCATTTATCTTCAAATCGAGATATTTAAGGGTTTGCGTTTCAATGAATTTAAAAATATACTTATAGGATACTAATGAGTTATACTACTTAAGTGTATCTAAGGGTTTTAAATTTATAGTTCCTATTAAAATAGTGGCAATTATTAAGTGAATAATATGCGTTTTCTTATCAAGAATGGAGTTAGGCTACTTTCAAAATTAATCATCAGATTCATTATAAAATTTGAAGATACCTAAGTCCATTCAACATAATTTAAGGTGCTTCAAATTGAAAAAAATAATACTCAATTTATTTTACATATCTCTAAAACACTTCGAAAACATAATTTATACGATTCAAAACATTTTTTAACTACATAACGTACAAAACTACGAACATAAATTTATTACAAAACAATTTATTACTCATCTAAATTTTGTGTGTCAAAGGGATTTGAAGAAATCATGATGTTCCGGTGGTATATATCGTAATAGATCAATTATGTTCTTGAATTTTGCTGTTTTAATTTGTCTGATATTTTTATACAGTAGTGTCAATACAATATTTTCGAACTTTCTTGGTCTACACCGACGTGGTAATAAATTCAGGACATTAAAATTTTCATTTTCATTCATTGATGTCTTATAGAAAATTTTATATTATAAAGAAATATTTTTTATTTCTTTTTAATTCAAG